TCGGTTGCCCCGTCATCTCCGCCTAGGCTAGACTGGAAAGTTCCTCGGGGATGCGGTTGCTGTAGAAGGCCTCTTCCTCCATACGAATAACTTTCCTCAGCCGTTTCCGCAGACTCCTCGGGCTCCGCTGCAGCAGCAGCATGCCCCTTGTCAGAAGCAAGAGCCTGAGTTCCTCTGATATCTCCACGTTTTGCAGTCGTCGATATAGATGACCACCCCAGCGGATGCCCTGTCTGCCCCAACACACGTCCAAAAGAACCTTCTACTGCCTGGCGCTCCCCAGCGTTTCCTTCGAGTCCCTCAGTCCATGCATCGTCCTCTCCCCCAACTCCCCCATCTTCCCCACTTGCCACATCTCCCAGACATGGTCTGTCGCCGCCCCTTGCAAGCGATCTGGACAAGGGAATAACCCAAGGCTTTTTTCTTGTCAAGCCAAAACAACGCAAAAGGAAGTAAGCAACACCCAAGGAGATGAATGCTACGCCTAAACGACGTACCGAAAAAGAGGACGACTTCTTCTTGAAAGAGCGTTGCAAACACTCTGCCCGACCACCACAGTCAAGGATTGTTTTCCGTTCCGACCTTAAAACGACTCCCTTTTCAATGCTTCTGAAGGATGGCTGAACAGCCCCGACAGCTGGCTGCGAATGCACGTCCATCGGACAAAGTAAAACTCGATGATGGCTAGGCGTACAGGCAGACTGGCGTTGAGGCCTGTTTCTGAGGACGTGAACGTTCTGTAGAAGCGATGAAGACTGACGCGATTGTTCATAATCATGAAGCCTTAACTGCTGCTGTCCTAGAGGTTCTTCGTTTGAGAGAACTCCAACGCACGAAACAAAGCCACTGGGTCCGTCCGTCGGGCTACCATCGGGAGTGAGCAGATGTTGTTGCGCCGCAAGAGAGTTAGCGATATGATATCAAGTAGATGCTTGTTGCGGAGTCGAATGCGGAGGCAGCACCAGTGTTTCGGCGCTCCAGGAGATGTCATGCACGAGGTGACGCCAGGCGAGCCCTGATTGGCGAAGGAGCGATGGGCATTTGTTAACAGTATTCGGGTCATATATTATTACTTTGCTCCTCGGCTATTCAGTCGAAGACCGAAGCAGTGGATGATGGCAATTAATCAGCTCACTCTCCACTCCAGTGATGACTCTGCCAGGCAAGGCACGACATTCGGCGTCTTCTCTCCTAGACATTGTTAGGTCTCTGGTCATTGCCACCTCCCCTCGATAAAGTCTCCACACTAGGCAAAGCTGGAATACGTGTAAATACAGTTAACGTTCGATGCAAACACCACAGAACTTTGGATATTCCTCGCATTTCACGTCGGCACTGCCTCCGGCCAGAGCATTGAGCAGCAGGAACAGGAGAAACAGCCGCGCATTAGGCTTCAGAAAAAACTCGACAGGATAAATACATCCTACGACTAACTGATAACATATTATGCCGCCTCCTATTATTTTTTTCGTTGAGAGAGGAGGTTCAACGTCGCTCCTGCTATGCCTTGATGTACAGGAAACACGTGACCAGTGGTCCCCTACAGACACTGCCACTGGCCTCCCGTCGCTACGCTGGTGAAAAACTTTAGTTCAATAATGAGCCACTTAAGCATATTTGTCCTAATGTATTTTTACGATACACGCAGAGTGGGAAAGTTATCGAGACACAAGGTTCCACAGCCCCCTTTGACCGGGCTGTCAATCCGTGACGCAGCGACCTGTACCATATTATGCCTGAAGTTGGTACGTGCGCTTCTACCTGAGCACTAGCTGCTTGCAAAGTG